GTTTTGGTTCGAGAGCCTTTATTTTTTTTTTTTTTTGATTTATATGGGTGTCCGGGCCAGCTTGCGCGCACCACGACTAATCCCCACGGCCCACTGAATACCCTGCAAATCCAGTAGACATGTAAAACACCACAGGGGTGATAAACGTGCATACCAGGGCTAAAACCCAGGTGCAGTAGAAGAAGACAAGTCCCTTCCACCGCTAGACCAAGTACTAGTTTACTCAGAGTCAGTATTTTAATCGCATGGCTATGCGTCCTTCTGTGCGGCGGATCTAGCGCAGGTTCATTCTGTGTCCTTTGATGATTCTCTCTTTTTTCTTGCAAGCTGCAGATACAGTGCTGAAGGCTGGCATTCCAAGCAATTATTTCACTTAAAGAGTTTTATACATGTATCGCAAATAATCTATAACAAACGACATTTCATTTTTTTTTTATTTGCAGGAAGTAATTTTCTTGGATGCTGCCAAGCAGTTAAAAGGCATGTTACTAAATCGACAGTGAATGCTTGTTTCTGAGATCTATCAGGAATGTTTCAATAACATAAAGAATTTTGTATTCAACTTTTATTCTATTTAAAGGCACTTATCAATGTTTTAGAATTTTTTTTTTGGGTATTTGGTGCATCGGCGAATGATAACCCCAGCAAAACCTGATGATAAAATTTCAACATGGCATCGACTTTTGGAAACCTGATTTCATTTTAGTGGAGACAGCAGAAAATTCGTTTGATTCAATTGGTATCTTAAAAAAGAGAGGATTGTTGTTATGGGTGATTAGAAGCTGCCGAATTACGCATCCTGTGTGTGTGTGTGTGCTTCTAAGAGTCTTAACTGTTGCAGCTCCATGGAGTGATTATCAGAGCATAATTGTTCAGTACTTTCTCTCGTTGATCTGTATCATGAATCAATTTATTGATAAATATTTGAGTTTCCCAGCTGCTGTGTATGGCAGTAACAATAGCTTTCTGTGTGTGTTCGCACTGCCATTGACATATCTTGGAGTCGCACAGTCCCTTCCAGCTAGCTTTATCGCAGGACTCATCGGCCTTGTTTTGGGGTGGCTTATCTATGCCGACACCATCATTTGCGTTTTCAACCTCGGAAGATGGTGTCAACTGGCCTGACATTCATGGCTAATAATAGGAAAAGGAAGAAGAATCCTGTCATTGTAACGCCTTCTGTTGTCACAATTGCAAGTGTAATCCTTGAGCAATAGTCATGCATGATTAAGTATCTGGGAAGGGAAAACCAAAATAACATTTGGTAGAGGAGAAGTGGCGAAGGCCCTTCAGAGAAATTGTCCACATTATTATTTAGATTCTCCTAGTGGAGGTACTTTCGTCATGTCTATATGTTCTTGCCCTTCAGTTTGTTTGTTTTTATTAACAGTTATAGTTGTTTTTTAAAATGATTTTTATTTATTAATATATTAAAATGTTTTTTTTTATTTAAAATTATTTTTAACATCAACATATCATTTTAAAATAATTTTTATTTATTAAAAATTAGTTTTAACATCAACATATCAAAATAATCTAAAAATATAAAAAATATTAATTTAAAATAAAAATAAAAAAATTTAATTTTTAAAAAGTATTTTTAAAATATAAAAATAAACCGTGCAAGAAAGAGAGTCAATAATAATAATTATAAAACTGTTTAATCGGGACAATTGAATACTTTCTTTTGAAGTAATAATTATTTTCAATTTAAAATCTCTTTGTAGTTTTATTATTACTATTATCGACTTAGATTGATAATTAAATGAATTCAAATTCATTTATAACAACTGAGTTTAAGTGGTAGTTCATATATGTTTATTTAATATATAAGTTTACGGGTTGATTAATTAATTTATATTTATATATTCGATATATTCTCTTTCATCACCCTTCTAAGAATTCTCATTCATACATTTTTATATCAAAGTTGTCAATATTATTTTAGAAGCCATTTTAGATTTTCATTTGATATGAAAAGTTTCAATATTTAATCAGTTTAGAATTTCATTTAGGAGTCAGCATTTATATATATATTTGATAAATTCAGGTTCTATATAACACTTAATTACTTAAATAAATATTTATCACATTAGAGTTGGCTTAAGATAAACAAGGGTCTTGGACAAAATTATAAATGAGACTTTTAATTTTTTTTTATTTTTTTTTATGTATGTCTGACAAGTAGTCTTGAACAATCTACATTTTGCACTTTGATACTT